CTGAGGAAACAAGCTGTGTCTGCAAAAGCTTATGCTAGAAATATCTTCTCTGTTCGTCTTAAAGGTGCTATGGGATTCCTTTATGCCTTTTAATGGCAAAGCAGAGTAATGCAGTTGTCAATTTGAATGCTAGTTCAAAGGAATTGATGTTTGAAGCATTGACTTTAGACTCTGGGCTATTCACTCCTGTCAGTTGTATTGTTCCATGGATGTTGCCATATGATCAAAGGATGTTTGTGGTCTTGATGTCATAGTTGGATAGAATTCATCTATTTTTTTTCAGGGGAGTGCTTCCCACTGGCCATTTAATGTCTACATTATGGAGGATCAGGGCAGGGTGGATAAGAAGAAACAAGATGACAGCCCTGCTCTCTTTTGCCAATCACAGCTTTCCCACTTGTTTTAAAACTAGGAATTATATCATTTTTGGATATGGAATGCTTGTGCATCCTGGGACATGAAAAACCACATCAGTTGAGGATGGTGAAGTCATGTTTGCATGTAAGAACCTGCAGAAAAAGACGTTCTCATGTAACAGGGTCAGAACTTCTAATAGCTGATGTTCCCCAGCCTCTGTCAGTGAAGGAAAATAGACTGATATTTTTATTACTAGTAACTGCCTTCCAACTTGGCAAACAAGTGTTTCCCCACAGATATTACAAAACATTTCACAGCTTATTAGTTTTTTGTATCCTGGTAAGTTTGAGCTAGAGGCCTGATGTTTCAACTATGGTTAAGACTGTGAATAGGGAAGGGAGACCATTTGACAAAAATCTTCTGCCAGACTCAGATTCACTAGGTGGCTATTAGTAAGCCAAGATTTGTTTGTGTTATCATTTTCCCTTCTGAAGAAACAGCCCTTCTTTTTCTCTCCTACTTTGCAGGGCTCTTGCGATGACTACTATAAAAAGAGTAAATTCCTAAAGCAGGGGTTCCTAAACTAAGGCCTGCAAGCCAACAGCAACAATCCTAATTAACTTGACTATCTCATCAGCACGCCAACACCTCCCATTGAAATACTGGTAAGTTTATGTTGGTTAAAATTGTTCTTCAATTTAAATATTGTATTGTATTGTTCTTTCATGTTTAAACTACAAATAAGATATGTGCGTTGTGCATAAGAATTCATTCATGTTTTTTCAAATGATAGTCCTCCCCCCCCCCCCCCCCCCCCCCCCCCCCAACAGTCTGGAGGACTGTGAACCGATCCTCAGCTTAAAATGTTTCAGGACTCCTGTCATCTTTAAAGTAATTGAGAATGTAAACCAGGAATTCTTTCAAGCAGTTTCAGGCTGTATACTAGGGCTATGCAATTTGATTGCCTGTCGTAAATTGGATCTAATTCATTAGATTTGTACATATGACACGATATCCAACAGGCGGACGTCGCACATGTAAAAAATGTAAGAATTTAATCTTTCACCTGGTATTTTTTTGTAAGTTACATAAATGTTGTAACTCTCTGTGATGCAGTTTTATTTCACAGAGCAACCAAGCACTACTGGGAAGTGAAGCCAAACTGATTGCCATGCCTCTCAGCCAATCAGGACTAGGCGGAGGGGGGGGGGAGAGGAGGTAGTCCCATGGCCATTGTTCTTTAAATTCCCAATGGCCATGCCACAGCCTCCATTTGTGATTGGGCAGGGAAAGTTTAAAGAGCTCTGTGCCGGGTTCACTTTAGCTTTGCAGGCAAGCAGGGTAGTATTATAAGTAGGCAGACGGCCACCACGCTGGAGAGAGGGAGAAGGAAGGAGACTAGCTTTCTAAGTTTTAGCTTCTTTAGCTGAGGCTGACTCAAGTCCGTGCCAGAGAAAGCTTTGCACATTGTGCACTAGGCACTGGAAGGCACTTGCTTTGCTTTGCTTATTCTTTTTTGGGCTGGGTGGGTGCCTTTTGCCTTATGACAATTTTGTCTTTTAGCTGAATTTTAGAAAATCTTTGAGGGTTACTGAGTGCACTGCTGACCTATTTGTGTACATTGGTAGCCAACACTCTTCACACAAATTGTTTCAATCAGATGCAAGCCTTTTTGCAATATTTTCTACTTCTCTGCTATCTGTGTGCATTGAGCCAAAAAAATACAGGAAGTTCTTTCAGTCAGGCACAAGCCTTTTTTATTACATTTTCTTGTGCTACTGCCATACTATCTGTTTGCATTGAACCAAAGAGCACCCAAGTAGATGTTTCAGTCAGGCACAAGTCTTTTTTGCCACATCTTCTAGGGTTACTGCCATGCTATCTGTGTGCATTACCAAAGCACATTCTAGCCAGCCATAGCAGCTAAAAGGTTTTTTTTGTAGAAATATTGAAAAATTCCCCAAAAATCAGGAGATTTGCTAATCTTTCTGAAACTTGGGAGGAATAGTGCCCTAGTTATGTGATGTAATTGTAGAGAAAATCAAAGGCATATCTCTTATACTTTATTTTTTTTAAAAGATCAATAGATGAGTTAAATGGTCTGATTTTTTGGGGGAGGGGCAGGGGAGGCTAGCAGTGATAGATATGTTCTACCATTGTAGCAAGTTTCACTTCAATAGCTCTAAAAATGAGTGAGAAATAAGCCCCGTAAGCCCTCCTTGTGCAATTACTTAATGAAATAATAGCAAATAATTTGTTACTTTCATTATAGTGATAAAATGGACACTTACAATACTTTAGAAACACTTTAAAAGTGCCCCCTAATTTTGTAATGAGTACTGAAACATTTTTTCAGGCTTGCTGTATACACATTGCAGAATTACAACAGTTTGACACTGCAATAACTGCCATGGATCAATGCTATGGAATGCTGGGATTTATAGTTTTATGAGAAAAGGTAATATCTTTATCAGTTTTTGATTGTGACTGCAATTCAGTTGAAATTGACCCTGGATTGATGATATGATTATTTGACTATCTGACTTTGGATCTTTGTACAATAGTCGTCTAATTGTTTACATACGTTGTTTTAAATTGTGGTTTAATTGCTTCAAATTGTTATTGCTGTTGGGGCTTGGAATAATTCCAATTATGTAAGCCACCCTGAGCCCCCTTCGGGGTGAGAAGAGCGGGATAGAAATGTCATAAATAGATAAATAATTACTGAAACTGACTCCTCTCCAGCCCTTTGACTTTTTTTCTTGCTGATTCCTGTACCAATTATTTTTATATAGAGGGAAGGAAGGAGGTAGCTGTGACTCTCTTTTATTGTTTTTTTTTTCCTGTTCTTATGCTAAAAGAAGCTTGGTGGTGCCACACTCCAACTTAGGAAGCAACATTTATGGCCTTGAAAGTACTTTACTTACTTAGGCGATCCCTCGCTTTCCGAGGATGATTGTCTTCCAATATTCTTGTGGGTCCGTATGTGGCTGTGGAGCCCTATTCTTGCTCTGCATCTTCTTCCGCAGTGAGGGCATTCGGTTTCCAGGTGGAAGGCGGTCTCGGCCGGGGTTGGCTTGACGCGCCTTCCTCTTGGCACGTTTCTCTTTTTCACCCTCCACTCGTGCCTCCTCAAATTCTGCAGCACTGCTGGTCACAGCTGACCTCCAGCTGGAGCGGTCAAGGGCCAGGGCTTCCCAGTTCTCAGTGTCTATGCCAGAGTTTTTAAGGTTGGCTTTGAGCCCATCTTTAAATCTCTTTTCCTGTCCTCCAACATTCCGTTTTCCGTTCTTGAGTTCGGAGTAGAGCAACTGCTTTGGGAGACGGTGGTCGGGCATCTGGACAACGTGGCCGGTCCAGCGGAGTTGATGGCGGAGGACCATCGCTTCAATGCTGGTGGTCTTTGCTTCTTCCAGCACACTGACATTTGTCCGCTTGTCTTCCCAAGAGATTTGCAGGATTTTCGGAGGCAGCGCTGATGGAATCGTTCCAGGAGTTGCATGTGACGTCTGTAGACAGTCCACGTCTCACAGGCATAGAGCAGGGTTGGGAGGACAATAGCTTTATAAACAAGCACCTTGGTATCCCTACGGATGTCCCGGTCCTCAAACACTCTCTGCTTCATTCGGAAAAATGCTGCGCTTGCAGAGCTCAGGCGGTGTTGTATTTCGGTGTCGATGTTGACTTTGGTGGAGAGGTGGCTGCCAAGGTAGCGGAAATGATCAACATTTTCTAATGTTACACCATTAAGCTGTATCACTGGCATTGGAGTGATATATTGGAGTGGTGGGCCTACACGGATATTTTTTGAGCACTGATTGAATATCTCTTATCCAAATACTTGGGATCAGAAAGTTTTTGGATTTTTAAAAAATTCTATACATGTATTTGCATATATGTACATAATGTGATATCTTGAAAATTATTTCATATTTCAAATATACCTTCTACACATAGCCAGAGGCTATATTTATACATTTCTATTTAAATAAATGTGCATGAAATAATCTGTGTACACTCAAAGGTGTCATGGTTTCAGCCGCTCATTTAGATAATTTCAAGTTTTGAAACATTTGGGATTTTTATTTCTGGTTAAAGAATACTCAAACTGTAGCTGTGAAAAGAAAACTAATCACTACCTCAGATATCCAAAGGCTTCTGTCTCTATGGAAATATGACTGAAAGCTGCTATGTGAATTAGAGTCTTGGTGATTTCAAAAAATAGGTCTTCGTATTGTTTTCTTGATGACATCAAAGCTCCAGCTCTCATAAACTGATGGTTAATGGATTGCTCACCTCTTCCCCACTGGCAGCCTTAAAGGAGTACTTCTGATGTTTTTTCTAAAGTTCAAAAACATCCTTTAATACGAAGACAGCAGTGTGCAATGATGCAAGAACTGTATAATTTTTGCATGCTTATAGAGATGCATATGTCACATTCAATGTCTGAAGTGCCTTCATGTAGCAGTTTTTGGGAATTGAAAGACGGAGGAAACAATTCCATTCCAAATAGGTCTCCCAATTATATATCTGGTTGAACACTGTGGGAACAGAATACTAGGCTAGATAGACTGGTCTGATTCATATGTCCTTGTCTGATTACAATGTGGAATGGGAAGTAAAACACTGCAAAACAGAATATGTATTTTTGGAGAGAGGAAAACTCCAGTTTTATTTCTGTCTACATTTGTTTTTCTTCCAGGGAAAATGAGATGGCTCATGAGACAAAGAAAGGAGAAAATGAGATAAAGGAGAGGCTATTTCTGCATCAAAAATACACAGTATGAAATTTACCTGGATATTTTAGAACAGGTTTTTGCAATTTGGTGCTTTCCAGATAGGTCAGACTACAATGCCCACCAGTCAATGTTCACAACATCTACGGTGCTGTGGAAAATGGGAATTGTAGTCTAACACATCTCAAAAGCAAAGGATGAGGGAACACTGACTTTGAATTTCACTATCCAGGATAGCCCTTTGGTCAGTGAAACCAACCGTAGGGCTCCCCTTGATCTGAATGGAATCAGCACCAAAATTTAGGCTTCTCGGGCTGTGTTCACACAGAATATAGCACTGACATTTCAAGCTTTGTTGCTGGACTGTGAAGGCAATTTGGTAGTTGGGGGACAACAAAACACCTTTTATTTCCTAGTATTTTCTTTCATTTTCTGCTATTGATGTGGGTAGATATCATAGTATGGGGGAGACTGGTATCTTCTTTGTTTCAGGCTTTGATGACCTTGGCTGTCTGGAGCTTAGTTTCTGACGCTTCGCTGGCTTGTGCTTGAGGACATGGTGTATGTCGTTTTAATGTTGCCCTGGCCACCACCAGAGGAGAAGCCGATGTTTCGACTGCCCATTCCACTCCCAAGGCCAATTCCATAGCCATAGCCGCCACCTCCACTCCCATATGCAGAACTACCAGTGGTGTTGAGGACAGCTGCCAGACAGAAGAAAATTATGTGTTTACATGAGACATAAGAAAAAATTGGCTTTGTTCAAAAATGCAATTGACTTCACTTGTCCTCAGAGACATCATTATGTTGTCTTCAGAAACATTTTTTTATGTTTCAGACCACTACTGTATCCCCATTCATGGCAGGATGCCTAATTAGCTAGAATCGATTCAATGACTACTCCAAGAAAGTTCCACGTGCCTTGAGTCGCCTTAGGGCTGAGAAAGGCGGACTAGAAATACCGCAAATAAATTAATCTATAGGTTGTTGTCACCCATTGTGGTGACTCATGGTGTCTGTCCCATGGATCTTTTCCTGTACCAGACCATACAGAATCCTTAGTAATATTTTTGTTACTCATAAATCATAATTTTTAATATATATCTGAATGTAATGACAAAAATCAGTGACCATAAAGACCAGCAGCAATGAAAAGAAGAATGTGTGTTTGTAGCACTTGCAGACTAAACTAAGAGTCATTGTAACTGGGTCATAATGACAGCTCAGACTAGAGCACATGTGCATAATTATAAGGTTAAAAGAGTACATTAGCACAGAGTTTTAGCTTTATAGTTATATTGATATAATGTACCTGTAAGTTGGGCTTATGAAAAATGCTTCTGTGGTTATAACCACGGGTTTATTTTTTATAAACAATCATAAATTTCTGTTGAAACACTTCAATTATTTTTATAGGCAGACTTTGGGTGTCACCCCTTTGATGGTATCACCCAGTGTGGTCCACCACCATTGCCTAGGAAGAAGCTGCAGCCAAAGTAACTGTGGGCAGCCTAATTATAATGGATCATATACCATTCGTGTCAATCACAACAAAACATGTAACGAACACCTTTGCAAGGCTGCGATAATGGCTGCCTACTCTAAACCTGTGCTAGATTTAACCTAGCTGCCCAGAGTGCTAGCCGCCCTGAGTCCCTTCGGGGAGAGCAGTGCGGGTTAGAAATGTATGATGATGATGATGATGATGATGATTATTATTATTATTGTAAAACTACCATTTTTTGTCTGCATTTAGGTGTCCGGTTCAGAGCACACAGGGTATGTTTAATAAAAAATGGGGAGGACATAATCTTTCTTGAGTTGGCTGAACTATGATTGCTATCATTCCTTATTACCAGCCATGCTGGCAGGGTCTGATGGATGTTTTAATTGGGTTTTATATTGTTGTTTTATATGCTTAGTGTTTTATTGAATTGTATTTTATATTGTGTTTTATTTTATGTTCTGTTTTAGGCACTTTCATGCCATGTGTAAACCGCCCCATGTCCCTTTGGGATAATGGTGGCGGGATATGAGAATAAAGCTTTTTTTTACTGACACAAAAAACACAGTATGCCACAGCAAACAAGATATATATTGCTGGATTTCGTATATTTAATATAAGCTGCTATTATTATTATTATTATTATTATTATTATTATTATTATTATTATGTTTTGGTCCATTATATCTAGAAAGCAACAGTTACGTCATTCCCATTTTAGTTCAATTGGTTGTTTGGTTGCTGTTGGTTTTAAGCTTCTTTTATTTGTAAATGTTGTTACCAATGCCTAGCTTCTGGATGAAATCAAATTAAAACATAGTTTTTATTCTAGGAATTGGCAATTCTTGAGTGTGGCAAAATTTACTCTCTGGATCACTGGCTGAAACACAGAATGATCTCAAAAATTTAAAACTTAAATATCCTTGGAATCCATTATCACCCCCCCCCCACTCTTCTTTTCCTCTCTTCTATCTATCCATCCATCCATGGATATCCAGAGATATAACTTCACTCTTCCAGACACCTTTCAGTAGCTTATATGTTGGGTTTCAATGTGTTCTCTGATATTTACAGTAGAACTCAAGGGAAGTTAAGTAATACAAAGGAAACTTACTCATGCTCACAGAACCAGCTCCATCACCAGCCAACCTGTGGAGAGAGGAAATGATTAAGCTAAATGGGGATTTGTTCTCACCTTTCGAATCATGCCCAAAGGATACTAACAGAAATACAAAAGAAACTGTGTATGATATGAAATATTCAGAGGGCACATCTGTGTTCCATTTGGTAGTTGCTAATATTTAATGCACCTATTCAAGCTCTAGAAGATACCAAGAAACATCAAGCCAGATCGTGCTATGCGTTCATTTAGTCCATCAGTTTGCTATCTCTGATATTCAGTAGCCCATAGAGCTCCATTTCAGTAGTAAAACTGTCCTACGGAAATGAGTTGCTTGGACATTTCTAAGTCTAGAACTTCAATTGGCAATGTATTCAATGTAATAAAATATATGCTAGATTGTGGTCTCTAAATGTGACAGAAAAATGTGACAGTAAAGCAGCTAACATACATGTTTCCTTGATAACACATGGGTGAAACCTCCAGAGAGGGCTGAAGGAAGCAATTTTTACTGGTGAAATGAAACCTGATAATTGCTTTTTTTTAAATGTGATGTTTATACATGGGGATGAATTGGGCTTTTGTGCAAATGATGACTGTTATCTTTCTCATACACCCACCCACAGGCTATTACAAATAAATCCAGAATTTTAGCACACTATCTGGGAATGAAGGAAGCATTTCATGACAAAAGGTCATATGAGCCAAACTGGGGTAATTGTTTTGGTTTGATTTGAGTGTATCGTAAGAATTAAGGAGGACAGTTGTCAAACATATCAAATGTCTGTTATTTGCTGTTAGTGTAATTGGAGTGGTAAGGGTCCGCCCTTACCCCAGGTTTGTCCCATAGGTAGCACTTAATGTTTAAGAAAGGAGAAACCAGTGCTCATGCCCTACTGAGAATCTTGCCAATTGCACTGGATGAAAGACCTTCATTTTGAGTGTATATGGAAATAGCAATGAGGGAAAGTTATGTTGTGCAATGTTCATAATAATGTATATAATGTTACTGTTATCTTTTACCATCAAATTAGGTCACATTTATAAATGTGAAGGGATGGTGCCAAAATGGGGGGGGGGGAGTATTTAAAAGAAGGATAGAGCTACTTGGCTATGATTATTACAGCTTTCCAACTCCTAGCACTAACGCCAATATCAATTGGTTGCCTCCTGATTAAAGACATCTCAGTCAATTTAACATATAAGTGATTGATTAAATCTTCATATGGGTAGAAATCAGAGTTGTGTGTGCAAAGAAATGCTTCCTCTGCATAAAGTCTATGTTAAGAAATCATTCACTACTTTACTTGCAGCAATATAGTGAGAGTATATATTTGAAAAGGTGAAGGTGAGATTACTATACTTGGACCTGTGATTTATATCCAACAAGAGTAGATCAATTGAATCAATTGGATTTAATACATTTGCCATTGGGCAATTGATCCAATAGGTTTGTTCTTGTTGGAGCAAGCAATTGGATATGTGCAGGTGTCTTTACCTGTGTGTGTCCACATTTACATTAAACAGATATAGATATTTTGGATTAATTGGGAAGTAGACATTTAATCAAGATATAAATATTGGTGCACTGGACTAACTGATTCATTACCAAACCAATCAGCAAGCCAACTAGTTAATAAATGTTGCAATGTTGTTAAATGGGTATAATGCTTGAAGCATTGCATCCTGACACTAACCGGCTCTCTTCTCCTTCCAGCAGCTTCCTGTAGGTGGCAATCTCAATATCTAGAGACATCTTGACATTCATGAGCTCCTGGTACTCTCGCAGTTGGCGGGCCATCTCTTGCTTTGCCTTATTGAGGGCATTCTCCAGCTCTTGTAGTTTGGCCCTGGCATCTTTGACAGCCAGCTCTCCACGTTCCTCTGCCTCAGCAATGGCTGTTTCCAGTTTGCCACGCTAAGAAAACAAGACATAGGATCATTCAAATGTTCACCCTATTCTTTTTCTGTCCTCGTGAGGTGGACAGTGGGGAAGTGTGCAGAAAAGGTCACATAGAAAATGCATGCATCTGGGTAGAACTCTGCAATCTATTTTTCTATCAGTCATGAGACCTTCTTCAAATGATGAAAAAAATCAGTCCTGTGATAACCTCCATACAATCTGATATGGTGCTGTCTGTGCCCAGAAATGATTTCACCAAGATCATGAGCTCTTTGTTATGAGGCCTTTGATAAATATGAAGGAAGACTGTATCGTTACTACAATTGACTCCATGCTAAGCTGAATGGACTTTTGGTGAGCCAATATTGCTAAATTAGAACAACTGATTTAAACCACAAGGGCTCCAGGTCTGCACCAGGATGTGTAATGTAAAGACTGTATAATGCACTGTGACACCTAATTCTAAATAGGAGAGGTATCATCTTTTTTAAAAATAGCCTCCCTGAAAATAGAAAAGTAGCACATCAGAGAGGAAGGCTGTCTACCACTTTTTTCACATTGTCTATGTATAAGGTACCAAAGGTATACATCCAATTATAAGTCCCAACTGAAGAAGGCCAAATGAATTTATTGCTATCTGGTAAATCAACATTCATGTAAATGTCATTGATTCAATCACTGTATTCTAATTAAGAGTAGTAACTGAATTTGGTCCTAGGGGAGCTTTAGCATCAACATGTGCACATGCTAGGAATTAGTCAATCTCTCTGTAGAAGTCACAACAGAGCTGTATCCTCTTCACCTCCCAGCCCCAACCAGACAAAAATTAGATGGTTTCTCTTTTAAAGGAAGGCGAAGGTGATGTCTTGGTGGGAGAAACTGCATTTAGAAAGTCAAAGTTTCAGTCCTTTGCATCTTCATTTGAAAGACTCTCAAGTTAAAAGACTAGAGAAAGTGTCCACCTGAGGTCCTAAGGAGCCTCTAGCCAGAGAGACTGGGCCAAAGTTGGGGACCACACAGCCTTTCAGATTTTACGAGACCATTGTACACCTTGCAAGGATCCCTCACCAATGGTTAGGTATCTTGGGCTGTTGGATTTTGGGCTAGAAAGAGACATGATCTTTGCTTCTAAATAGACAATACTTGTCTAAGTGAACCAATCATATCACTCAGTGAAAGGTAGCTTCTTGAATCAGAGGAGGGAACATATCTGAGTGGCAGTACTCTTGCTCTGGATGTAAAACGTCCACAAATCCACACTCTGGCATCTGTAGGCAAGAGGTACTAGCTCAGGGTGGAGACCTCTCATCCTGAGATTATGTTGCTATGCCCAGTTAGATCAATGATATGACTTAGTACAAGACAGCTTCCAATAATGAGGGACCAATACATTACAGGTGTTTTTTTAAAGACAGTCTTAAACTCATTTCTCCTTTGTACCCTATCTTTGCTGAGTCTGCAACAGCTTATGGCCAATAAATGATCACAAGAGTCAAAGATTATTAGTTATTTGGCACAGATGTCAATGACTAATGCAGTTCTTGCATTACCATTGCTTATTATCAGTTCTATACTCTCATGTGGCGCAATGCCAAGGGTGCCATGCAAACACCAGAGAGGAAGGGTGTATTGCTGGACACCTGGGTTTCAAGGCTCCCATACTTTAATCACTGATACACTGTTTGCATTGCTTCCATGTGGATGTTTGCTGAAGCCACCCTGCCTTGAAGGCAAACAAACATGATGGGGAGTGATTCACAATGGCTTATCTTTCTGCTTTTGTGAAAGCTCCCTAGTTCATTCATCATGAAATATCCAGTCCTTGCGGGCAGCCATCAATCAACAGAATTACTTCTTTTCTTTTCTTTTCTTTTTGACAACACTTGCAAGAGGACAGACAGACCTTGGAGGGGAAAACTTCCTGGGGGAAATTGTCATGGCATCAGCATAATAATTTGGGAGGGTTAAAACAAATATAAAGTGGTAGATCTTTGGATCACATCTCTAAATTCTTTTTACTGATTACCATACATACTTGTGTATAAGTCAACCTCATGCATTAGTAAAGAGAAGAATTGGAGACAAAAATTGTATATTTCAATATGAGTATTGTCTAAACCAAAGGTTATTCCACACAGATAGGAAACTGCCAGCATTTTAGTTCCTATTTAAATTCAGTGCATATCTGATAAATGTTCACCAAAATGTGTTTTAACAAAATCCTCCACAATCCTATTTATAATTTGTGAATTCAGAATATGTATTCCATTTTAAAATATATGTTTGAGTTCCTTCTGCTTTCTTACCTGATTTTTCACATTTTCAATCTCAGCCTGCAGCCTCTGGATTGTACGGTTAAGCTCTGAAATCTCAGTCTTGGTGGACCTCAGGTCATCCCCATGCTTGCCAGCAGTGAGTTGCAGGGCCTCATACTGAGGATAAAAATTGAAATAAGAGAATGCAAAAAAGTATTTCCTACAAAAGACACAAAACTTCAATTCCTGAGTATACTAAAGTGATTAAATGTCAGAAGAATTGAGGAAGGCAAACTCTTGCAGTACAAGGGTTATGGGCTTTTTCTTTCCACACATCATTTGCCTCCTTTGTATTCTTGCTTAGAGAATATTGTTGAAGATATAAGAGGTGAATGGTTTGGAGGAACCTTGTACTTGATATCAGACATAATACACCTTCCTATCATTTCCTCTCACAAACTCCTCCCTCCAAAATCAAGACCATATCCCTAAAATAGCATGCAGGTTTTTTACTCCATTCAGCATTTTACTTCTTCTCCTCTGCTGTGAATACCAACCATGCTCTCCTTTCCATTAGAAGAATGAATGGTAGCCAGTCATGCTTTTTCCTCAAAGATGTGAGTAGCAACCATTCAGTGACTTGATAGAAAATAAGAAGTGAGCTTTCAGACATAAGCTGAGGTTAAATCCAACTAGAGTAGATTCTATGAACTGATTCTTGAACCCACACACAGAGATTCCATTGATTCAGTGCAACTGTCAAGAGCATTCTGACCAATGAGTGGTCCTAGGGTCTAATCTGCTATCTGCCAGACTCACTTCACAGGATGTTGTGAAGTTAAAGTGGAGTGGAGCCATGTACATGGCTCTGGATGTATTGGAATAAAAGATGGGAAACATGAGGCACTAATACATAATAAACAGTTCATCTGCATTAGCTCCTTGCTGGTTTCTTAGGTCCCATCTACACTACCATATAATGCAGTTTGAAATTACATTGGATGGTCAGTGTAGATTCATATAATGCAGTTCAGTCCAGTTAAATGGCATTATATTAGTTCACACTGACTATATAATTCAGTTTCAAAATGCACAATATGGTAGTGTAGATGGGGTCTTAGGTTGCCTCTATACTGTAGAATCAATGCAATTTAATGCCACTTTGATTGCCATGGTTCAATGCTATAGAATCCTGGGATCTGTGATTTGATGAGGTACCAGCACTTTTTGACAGAGAAGCTAAAGACTTTGTAAAACTAAGGCTCCCATGACTGCATAGCATTAAATTATGAAAGTTAAAGTGGCTACAAATGGAAGTGCAGGTGGACCTTCAGTTGTGTTGGAGAGTGATTTGAGATGGCAATAGTCTTGCTGAACTGTGAGATGAAATGTGGTTCTTTTAAGAAACAGACTGTTTCAACCATTGCTTGGAAAGATAGGATTTAAATGACATCTGAAAGAGCTTGGGAAATGAACTAACCAAAAAATGTGTTAGTTTGTTTCATAAATGGTTACTTCATGTTTTTGCCCCTGTTCCTGTAATTCCCAGTATCAAGTAGGGTAAGCTTGATAGACTCAATTGCCATTTTCAATCTCTGGGCTCCTTTGAGGACTGCAGTGAATGCCAAAAACTACAAAATATTGTAGAAATGACTATAAGTCCACCTCTGGCTTTGAGAATCAAAGCATCATTAAAATGGCAAATCACTGCTCCTGGAAAGGCAGTATGTGTTTGATTTGTTCAGGAGAAAAAAAGATGGCATGAGGAGTCTTAAGAGATTGAAGACTTGCCATAAGCCTTCCCCTGTGGTTATTCCTCAAGTGGGTTCACACCCACTTGAAGCCAATAGTAGTGGCCAGCTATCCACATATTCAGAGAACAGTATTTCCTATCCCACCATTCTAAAGTGAAATCCCTCCTTCCTGCTCCAATCATAGAATTTTGGTACTTATTTCCTATTCCTAGGATTGGAGGGAATTGTACAGAGTCACTTAGGTGTAAGATGTAGTGTGTGTTACTAGCTGAGCAAAATAGTACACATGTGAGTAAGTACAAGATGAGAGGTGTCGAGAGGTGGGCATACAGTCCATGAGAGTGTAATGGATATTTGCTGAAAGTATGAGTAGACAAGTATGAGGTTATGATACAAAAACCTAGTGTCAGCAAGGTTGCCACAGTGCCATCTAACTTATTATATATGTTTGTGTTGATCTCTTTGTTTACTGTTTCAAGACTCCTGGAGGACTGCGTACAATAAGGATCACCCAATAAAGCAATAGAGGAAGAAGGGTGAATGCTTGGACTGATGACAACCCTAACATGTTTTCTACTCAGGGTACATCGAAGAGCTACAAGCTTTATAGGACTCTATCAGAGACAACAAAGGATAAGGTTGCAATCATCCTTGGAGATTCATTTGTAGGTAACATTGTTTTTAACTAAAACACAGAATAGGAAAATGTGCAAACCTGAAATGTTTGGGGGTGTAATTGTGCCACCAAATCATCATCAAGGCACACAAGTAATATACTGAGCTAGTTTTTCTCACTTTGCCAGCACAACTCACCTTGGTTTGATAGAAAGCCTCAGCCTCCGCTCTGCTCTTGTTAGCAATATCCTCGTATTGAGCTTTGACTTCAGCAATGATGCTATCCAGGTCAAGGTTTCGGTTGTTGTCCATTTGAAGGACAACAGAAGTATCGGAGATTTGGTTATGCAGTTCACGCAGTTCCTGGAAAATTAAATAAATGCATATACTACCTACTCTGTGTCATATAAGTTCATCTGGAAACTTAGGTTGCAAAGGAGACCTCGCTCCTATCATCAGTGCAGAAATCTGTTTCAACTGGCAGTCAAATAGGCTTTAGTACATAGAACAGGAAGCATGAAGAGGGCACCACCTCATTCTTTGACTCAGGAAGCAAACTGTCATGGGCCAGTCTTTTCTATAATCATGTGTGTACACCTGTGTGTACACCTGTTCACCTAATGTTTTTTTCCTGAAACTCAGATGAGGAATCTACAAGTACAGGGAAGAACTTTATTCCATATTCTTCCTCCCACATTGGATATGGTCCATGACACTAAAGGTACAAGCACACAGCTCCTGCCCTACCTCCCAATAGGGTCTAAGAAGGTATAATAAAAGTAGAGAGGAAAGGGCAAGAAACTCTCTACCAACCATCTCCTTGGTAAGAGCTTTGATGTAAATGAGAACATGATATTGGAAAAGGGGCAAGTGAATAACAGATGTTATTTTAGCCTGAATTGGATAGAGGGAATTCTGTTCTCTGGGACAAGCGCTCAGCATAAATCCAGAAGTTATGTCTTCTTCTCCTTCCTTCCTTCCTTCCTTCCTTCCTTCCTTCCTTCCTTCCTTCCTTCCTTCCTTCCTTCCTTCCTTCCTTCCTTCCTTCTGGCTAAATGCCAAAGAATTATTTATCCTRAACTAACACTCTCTACTTSGGAGGGAAGAATGCCCTGCCTTTTTAAAAAGCTGAACTGCTGTCTCCACCAAGAGTCAATACTACTTTCTTTTTTATATAGGTTACACCTTAGTGAATTTACTGGAAAYGGAAATGAGTGGAATGATATTGTTAGGAGTGAATAGAACCCGACAGATTCTGCCCCAAAGCCAGGAATTAATCCATTCTGTTACAGACCAGGCAACYTATATCTTTGGATATATACCCACATCCTAGTCTTATTCTTTCGACATTTATGCCAATTTGTGGAATGAAACTCAACTTCTCCTGCTCCGTTTATGCACCCCCCCCCCCAAAAAAAAAGATTTTTATATTTATTTTCTAATTTACATATTTTTGTACGAATTTTTGCCATGACTAGAACATGTTTATGGAACTTAACAAAAAAGAAGTATAAGATCATACTTTGGAAATGGATACATATCCATATGTGCTTCCCTCAAATGTACCACAGACCTTGCAAATAATACATGATGTATCACATTGTGTTAGCAGGGTGCCCCTTAAAATAGGGGTGGGAATCATGCATCTTTCCAGGTGCTGGATTGCAATTCCTAACATTACTCACTATTGGCTATGCTAAGTAGGGCTCATGGGGTTTACAATCCAACAGCACATGGAGGGTTCCACTTGGTCTACCCCTGCTGCACAAAAAAAGCAAATCCAACTCATTTCTTTCCTACCTCTCATTGTCTTTTCTTCTGAATGTGATTAATCATATACAGACAATAATGGGGAGAAATGTCCCACTGAAACTTGCCAGACGTTTTTGCAAGAAATTGATACAGACATGGAAGTTTTCTTTGTATTGTTGAAGGCTTTCATAGCCGGAATCACTGGGTTGTTGTAGGCTTTTTTTTTTTTTTTGGGCTATATGGCCATGTTCTAGAGGCATTCTCTCCTGACGTTTCACCTGCATCTATGGCAAGTATCCTCAGAGGTAGTGAAGAAGTTTTCATTCCTTCACTTCTTGCTGCAATGGGCCAGTACTGCGTTCATCCCATCACAAGGAAATCAATATTAAAACAGCATCTTTGCTAAGCTCCTTACGATTCTTACCTATTACATATAAAATCACATGAAACCAACTGGATACGTTTAACAAAGGCTTAGTGGCTTCTTTGCAACAAACTCTTAGCTGGCTAGAGACAAAGTCAAGGTTGAGTTTGGCAAACAGCCTGGAGTCTATGAGTCAAAGATATGTAAGCATAGTGAAAAGTAAACTGTTTGATTATAATTCTATAATATCTTCAACAGTTTCATCGTCATAGTGGAGAAATAAGCAGAGAAACCCATCCTCATTTGTATTTAGTGACTTTCCAGGTTTCAAATAACTTATAAAAGGGGAATTGGATCTTCCAGTGGAACATATTCTGCTCTTCCATCAAACTGGTACAAATTGGTGCTTCTCACAAAAACCTTTATATCTTAATCCTGCAGCCCCCTGCAAATGACACACTTGTGTATCAAACCAAAGGATTAATTAAAGAATGTTCAATGAACACTATGAATCAGGACCCAAATTAGACTACAGTTACAATAGGAATGATCCAAGTACAAACTCACTTAATCTGATTCAGGGCCTCTGTTTGTATCATAAAAGAGAGATTCTGGCATGGAGAGTTTTACTTACTGCTTCATAGAGTTCTCTCATAAAGTTAATCTCATCAGTGAGCCCATCCACCTTGGACTCCAGTTCCACTTTGTTCATGTAGGAAGCATCAACATCCTAAAAGAGAAAATGTCACAAGAAAGCTAAATGAAATTTCGACAGGAATGGTCAGGAATAAGTTGACAGCTGCCACTATGGGGCCTGATGAAAAACACAACCTTCATGTTTTAAGAATTCATCATATTCACAATAAACGTAATTGGCTTAAGACTAGTGGTTGGTCCCCAATGAATTAAAGGAACTGACTTAAGTATTGACTCATCATTTCCCCCCATTGCATCAATGGGACTAGTCTGATTGGTGGTTAACCATTGGATTATGCCATTGCCACCTATTAGCAATATTAAATTGTACTAGTGAATTGAATTACATCAGTCCCACAAGAGCATCTGGACACCCACCTCAGAAAGTGTGTGCTTTCTGGGGTGTGTGTAGACAGGCCCCCCAAGAACATCCGCGTTTTTTTAAACATGGATGGTTCTGGGATAAAGGCCTGTCTGGAACTGTCCAAAGAATCATAGAATCAGAGTTGGAAGAGACCTCGTGGGGCCATCCAGTCCAAATCCCTGCCAAGAAGCATTTTATAGTCACATTTCTGTCAGATTATCTGATATTTCAGCTAGACTTTTTGGTATGGCTTGATACAGGAGAAGGTTCATACTTGGGGGGGGGGGGGGTTGATTTACTACACTGACTGGTGGTGCCAACCATAGTGATGCAACTGTGGGTGTTACCCAAATATGGGATGAGAGAAAAAATAAAGTTGGGGATGGAAGGAGAAAGATTAAGCTCCTCTCCTGTTTGCAGGGTAGGATCAGGGATGCACAATACATTAAATTAAATAAATTTCCTCTCCCCGTGAAATGGGGAGAGAGAAAATGGTTTGTCTGCCTCCCACGAGGCAGGGATGGGTTCCAATGGAACCTTCCAGAGGACTAGGGGGCGTGGCCTGTTTGTACAAGCCAGCCCCCACCCAGGCTCATTCTGAGCCTGGAAGCTGCCCACCACTCCCGCCCATCAACAGTATAATTTAGGTTGCCTATGGAACCGGGTAGGAATTTTTTCCCTTCTTGTTTCAAGGGGAGGGTTTTTTGCCTACCCTATACTGTTTAGGGGCTAGATAGAATGGTGGACTATCGCTAAATAGGCTAGCGTAAAATAGTTAGGGAAATCCTTTAGTCGGTGTGCACCTAAGGCACCCCCTTAAGGGGTGATAGGCCATTAAGTTAAACACTCACCTACTGTTTAGTTAAAAGGTGAAGTGAAGTCAAATGGCCGTGAAATGAGAGGAGTCAGGCTGCAAGATCTTTAGAAGAGACTCCTCACTTTCCCTTGCTTGGTGGTCCGGGCTTATTACCAGGAAACCCAGGTGCTTCGTCCGAAAATTGTTGTCTTAAGATTGGGTAGTGATTCTACCTGGGTTTGTTATACCAGTTCCCGACACCCCTTTGAGTTAGGTTAAGCACTTAAATAGGTAACGTTAAATAAAAGTTGCCCAATTTGAACCCATTGACTTGGTTGTTGTGTCTTTATTCGTGAGTCTTTACTTCGGGGGTTGGCAGACAAACAGTACCATAGCTTCCTGAGTATAAGAGCCATCTAGGAACCTGTTTATCCACTTTGGAAATCAGTCCCTGCTGCCTGTCTAGCAAAAAGGGACCGGGAGAAATAGGTTCTCAACATTTAATGGGCCACAGGGTTTCCTAACCTTGATGGAATGTCCTTTGTCCATCCCCGTGTTACTATTGACCTCTTTGACCTTAGGAAACCACCTGTCCTTTCTTTGTGTCTTTTATCCTTCTTTTCTTCCTTGTCTGTTTGGTATGTAAATATGGGAAGAAAAGTCTCCTGGCTGCACAAGGAAAAGGTTCTTTCCAACTCTTGAGGATTGTACCACTTTATAATGTGGGTGGGTATGGAGGAAAATCCCTGCACATAGTAAATTGCCAGGGATTGTGTGAATAAATTGGCTGAAAGAAAACAGTGCTTTTCGCCCACCTTTTTGAGCACAACAAAGTCATTCTCTGCAGTTGTGCGCTTGTTGATTTCATCTTCATACCTGTTGGGAAGGCAGAATGAAATAGATGGTTTAAGTTTACTGGCAGAACAAGCCAAAAAGTAACAACATACAAGCTTGGAGTGAACATTTATTCCTTAAGAGTTCAATAATATGAATGGTGGGATTCTCCTCTGCGTTCAATACAAAAGAACTCATCCCATATTCACATATCCCAACTTTTTAAAAATAAAAATACTGTACCTTTAAAAATAATTCTTGTTCTTAGGTTCTTAAGATTTGGAGTCTAAGAATAATAAAGCAGTGACTACAACTTTTAAAAGCTGTCAGTACAAGCACATGCTGAATTATATCCCACTGAGTTCAAAGGGAGCTCTTTCCAGGTAAGAGCATAAAACAATGTTCCTCAGCTTGGAATCCTCCAGGTACATTGGCCTACATCATTCTCAGCTGAAATGGCCATTGGCTAAGGATAATACATATAAGGGGATTTTTAGGGCAGGTTTGATACATCAGATTGCAATACAAGCCATATATATGGTTTGTATTGCAGTCTGATGTATGAGTCTACTCTGACCATGTATGAGTCTACATGAAACTGCATTATATGCTAGTGTAGATGTGGCCTATAACATCGTTGGAGTTGTCAGTGTTTCATATATACACACATATATAAGCGCAGGCTCATATAATGTTATTTAACTGCATTGAATTGTTTTATATGGGTCTACACTGACCATGTAATGCAGTTAGATGGGTCCTCATTTTTAATTCTGAGGCCCCTTCTACACTGTCATATAAAAGCCAGATGATCTGTTTTGAACTGCATTATATGGCAGTGTGGACACACATAATCCAGTTCAAAGTAGATAATGCGAATTATCTGATTTTAGAATCTGAATTATATGGCAGTGCAGAAGAGGTCTGAGGTAATCTATGTCTTAATTCTGAGCTAGCTATTGGCATTAGTTGATGCTGACAGCAAAGGTTATGAAATGTATTTCTCTAGATGATGTATCGTAAAATGTTTTGTTTGCCCATGTTAAGCAACCTTGTCAAACAGGAATGAAGCAGATATTTTCTTCATTTGGGAGACAATTTCATACTAGCAGATGAGCCTCCCACATACAATAATGATTTCTAAGCAACTACTGTAGTTTTTTTTTGGGGGGGGGGGAGCAGAAATATGATCTCAGATACTGTTTTCTTGCAAACTTTTTTTCAATTCATAGCAAAATAAACCTATAAACGAAGACCAAGCAATATAATTTTCTCTTTTTAAGTCTAGTAAGAATAGTATTTGAAATGTTGGAAAACTCTACTGTAATTTTTTTTTGGGTTGTGTCAGGAGCGACCTGAGAAACTGCAAGTCGTTTCTGGTGTGAGAGAATTGGCCGTCTGCAAGGATGTTGCCCAGGGGACGCCTGGATGATTGGATGTTTTATCATCCTTGTGGGAGGCTTCTCTCATGTCCCCGCATGAGGAGGTGGAGCTAATAGAGGGAGCTCATCCGCCTCTCCCCGGATTCGAACCTGCGACCTGTTGGTCTTCAGTCCTGCTGGCACAGGGGTTTAACCCACTGCGCACCGGGAGCTCTACTGTAATGAAAGTGATATACACTGGTTTCTTGGATAACCCTGCCTACCTACCTTTTTGAGATAAAATAGCTGCAGAACTAATGTGTACCATGTGTAGTAACCCTATTTAGTGAAACAAAAAAACATAGACAAGCTTACTGCAGGCAAAATGGAAGGCAACTAATTAGGCAACTCCAGTTGCTCAAAAGGATCCAAAGATCAGATGTAAAGTTCACAAATAGAAGAGTGCTAAGAATGTGATATTGTTTCATATAAAAAGAAGAAAGTGTTCTTTCTCCTCACCTCTCACCAGCTCTTACTTAATTCTTACTCTGGTTAACTGGTTAGGCAACAATCCTAAGTCTACAGGCCTGGGGGCTGTAGTGGAGTTCAGTTTCAATATTTACCAATACAAATACTGTTGCATAAACTAGTAAGACAAAATACAGAGCAATCTCTTGCTTTGCTGCTGCCCAAACCATGTTTGCTAGGTTGTTCCTGCTTTTCTCTCATCCTGCTAAAAGGACGTTAACAGGGAGGGAGAGGAGGAGGTTAAAGAAAAGACGTGTTCAAAGGGCTGTGGCCAGTGCCACACCCTGGAAACCAAGGTTCCTCTATGCCACTGACACAAGTTCTTTTTATGGACTTTGCCCCACTTCATTCATTGAGAGGTGAGACAGGCATTTTATGATTATACTTCTGGTTTTTTTAAATGGTGAAAGTACCAGAAGCAGCAAATACTACTACTACTACTGGTAGTAGTAGTCCTCATCCAAAATGCTTGGGAGCCAATGCCTTTCAGATTTTGGATTTTATTTTATACTTGTGATTTTGGAATATTTATTTGTGCATTGATAGTAGGAAAAGGGGGCTACTCACACATCAAGTGTTCACTAGGTTTTTCCATAAGGAGCCCCTGCTCTAATTCTATCAGAAATCTGATTGGGGGGGGGGGAGAGAAAACGGGTGGAGAGGACTCCAGTTTCTGCAATCCAGCTCACTCAAGGTTTGTAAATAGCCCATATCCCTAATACCTCCTACATTGTCAGCAAACTTTCTATTCTTTTAGCAAAGCAATCAGGAAGAAGTGGAAACTCCTTCACCTTGTCCCCACAAAAGACTGTTTCATTTCGTCTGGACTGCATACAGGATGAGGCCAAGGGGATCACAATGCACTCACAGTCCACTTCCAGGGCAGTTTTTCCTTCATGCCCCTTTTACTGGGGCCTTGTATAAGCATAACCCCCCTTCCTTTTCTATCCCTCAATAAGGCTTCTGAAGAAAAAAAATCAGTGGGTGCTGGATGTGTGATTAGCCCCCCTTTCCCCAAAAAGTGGACATGCCTGGCTGGTGGCATAAAAGTGTTGTGTTTTGGAGTATTTCAGATTTTGGATTTCCTGATAAGGAAGACTCAACCTATAATTGTAGTAGCAGGAAGCGGAGGCTATTCTATCTATTCTAGATTCCAGGATCTGAAGCCAGCATAATACTGATCATGCCAGTCAATTACACATATCCTCACATAAAATGTTGAGCGTTTTTGCTGATTGTGATTAAAATCTAACTGAAATGAAATTTTCACTCAACAATAGGGAAATCTGTTCCCTTTGCTGCCTTTCACATTCATGTTTTGCAGACTGGAGAAATGCGGACCAAATCCAAACTGAAAGTTGCATCTATCCCAAGCTAGTACATTTAAAAGTGCACATTCGTTTCTCATGCTGAAAGGCCTACAATATTGCCAGTGTGATGTTTTATTGTCACCTCTTAACAACTTTACTTAGACTGAGGGCGCTTCCACACAGCCATATAACACAGAATATCATGGCAGAAAATCCCATAATATCTGCTTTGAACTGGGTTAGCTGAGTCCACACTGCCATATACCCCAGTTCAAAGCAGACAATGTGGAATTTTATTCAGTTGTGTGGAAGGGACCTGGGACACAGTGCAAACAACACACTTTATAGCTACTTCATTCAGAGAGCCATTTGCACACTAGAACAGCATCCTCTTGATACAGAGATTGTTGCTTCACATATAGGTAGGGTTTGGGGAAGTTATTATTTTTGCTTTACTACTCCAGATCCTATATGGTTTTGATATACTTAAGGCTTGACCCAGCTATGTTCAGCCCTTGGCTGCCTGAGCCCTTCCACATGTCTGGTCTACATAAAATGATGATGATAGTGGTGATGTGAGTAAGGCTTAGTCCATAGAATTATAGGACACACAGTCATTTGGTGAGAATGCTCACAAACCTAATCCCAGGTTTTTCTGAGAAGGTGATAGCAAAGAAGGAGTAGTTTCAATGTGCTACAAAGAGGTGTATTTAGTAACACATAAAAGGCCTCTTTGATTGGAAAGTTGTGGGACTTTTATTAAAACGATTAACAAAGCCTTTCCCAACCTTCCCCCCACTTCCATTCACTCTAAGTCACACCAGCTATAATACTGTGGCTGCACCTGGAAAAGGATTACTAGTTATTGACTTTTCTCCTCTATAGAGACCCACCCCGAGGGTTTATCAAGGTTGTTTGCTTTTCATTCCTGCCTGCCAGCCAACTGCTATATTTTTTAAAAACAATTACAGGTGTGGCGGGGAGGGGAATGAGTGAAGAGCGGGCCCATGTTGGACTCCCCCCAGGAGGCAGAAGGAACTCTTAATCCAGAGCAACTGCCAACCTTTCCTCCCCCTGTCTCCATAGAGCTCTTTTTCATAACAGCAGGTGGGTCCTTTGTTTAATGCACTGCTGTCAATGGATACAGTGTTTAATTTCTCCACCACTGCCATCCTGTAACCCTTAGTAATCCTTTGCCAAGAAAAAAGAGGGAAATAATAACCTTTCACTGACTGAATGCAATTTCTTTAAACAGATTGCACAAAGAAACTGATCTCACTTGTCGAGGTCTGCATGTGTAAACTTTCCTTTTTGAGTGCACACATTAAAGCGACATATGGGTGTGCAGTAAAAGGATAATTACCAATGGCTTTATATGACACAGATGTAAAATTGCAAGCCCAAGTTCAAGGTATCTGGAATCAGTGGGGTGAGGTAGTAGCAGCAGAGATCGGGAACACTCCTTTTTAAACAGCAGCTTCCAGAATACTAGTTCCCCCTAGTCATGTCAGCTGGAGATTCTGGGAGTTCTACACTAAATAGGAATGTTTCCAATTAGTGCTCAGTTGACAATGCATGGGATTTGAACTGAGGTGGTTTTTGTTCAGATCTTCATTAGGCTACAAAAAGATGATTTTGTGCCAATTTCTTTCCCTTTCAACAACACTGCCTTGTAGGGTTGTTGAAAGGACAAACCAAGGGGGTTTGTATAGATATGTTACTCTTTGTTCACTGCTCAGAACTCCTTGAAATAATTAAAGATGGAATCAAGCACACATAGATGACAAATTGACATCATCCATGGTCTAGTAATAGTTCAATAAGAGCATTTCCTCTTTTCTAAAACCTTGCCCCTTTATTCCTCTCTCTTAATCTGGTGCTACAATAACTTCACATCAGCACAGACTACTTTTCTTGGGATTTCTTACCAAAATATTGAATAAAAGTAGTCCATCCAATGCATTATTCTGAATGATCCCTGCCATGCATGCAGACAGACTTTAGATGTTCATGGGAACAGGTAAGAGTTCAACATAGGGATATTCATATATTGTGACAGTATACACTATATGAATCTCCCCAGACCCTTGAAAAATCACTCAGCAGAAAACACTCCTGAAGTAAGATTATAGTTGCATTTGTGAATTTTAAGTCTATTATCATCCTCCAAAACCTTCAGTAGAGTTCCTCATTTACCACGCTAAAGTCCCAACTACACTGCCATATAATCCAGTTTCTGAATGCAGATTGAATACATTGAACTGGATTATATGGTAGTGTAGACTCATGACCTTTCTACACCACTATATAATCCAGTTTATAAAATCAGTTAATCCACATTATCTGCTTTGAACTGGATTATATGAGTCCACAATCAGATAATCTGGATTTTATATGGCAGAGTTGAAGGGGGCACATATTAAGAAGTTAATCTACATTCTGAAACTGGATTATATGAAAGTGCAGAACCAGCCTAAGCTACCCCATGCTGTTCTGGAAGAGGGATCAAACCATCATACCTCCATATTATGCAAATAATCTAAGGGTGAAGCCAAGCAAGGACAGCAATCACCATTTATATTGTTCTTGCATGCAGGGATGAAAGATATGGGGTGGGAGATTCCCCCACTTATGAGAACTGGATGTGGATGGGTGGGAATGTGAGTGAATTGTGCCACAGAGTCTTTTCACAAGTGTAGCATTTCACAGAATAAGTACTGAATCTATTTTATGAGAAGGTTGATGAATTTGTATGACTTTGTCTCAGTCAGTGGACGTTTTGTGAAAATTTCACAAATGTTTGTGCAAAACATAGGCCCCCTGTTTGTAAGCTGAAACTGTGCCTTGGTAATTTTCAGTACTCTTATTCAGGAATCCATTGGAGTTGTAATCTGATAAGATCTTCAGCATTCTCTGCAAAAGAGTGTTGGCACCTCACCAAACTACAATTCCTATGATTCCATAGCATTGAGCCAAGAAAATTAAGCTGATGTCAAGCTGCAGCAATTCTGCACTGTAGATGCACCCAGCTTCCTTAACATTAATGGGGTTGATGTTCAAAAGACTTAATTGTTTTATGTGTATATTTCTCTTAAAGGAGAATTTGAGGTGCTGTTTGAGCCTCCCAGGCACTCATCAAAACTGTTACAAAGATACATTACTTGCTCTTGAAATCCTCAACCAGATCCTGCATGTTCCTCAGCTCCCCCTCCAGACGTCCCTTGTCATTCATCAGGACATCAAGCTGTCTCCTCAGGTTATTGATGTAGCCCTCAAAGAGAGGTACCATGTTGCTCCTTGTGGTCTTCTGCTCCTGCATGAGACTCCATTTGGTCTCCAGCATCTTGTTTTGCTGCTCAAGGAACCGGACCTGGAAAGATGCCACAGGCAGAATATCAAAAAGTTTGTCATTCTTCTGGCAAGGACTTAAAATGCCACAAAAGCAAGAGAAAAATAGGAGCCTGTGTGACCCTTAGCTAGATGGATGATAATAAATCACTTGAGGAATGTTGGTCAGATGAGGGTGTGGGAGGAAGGGAGACTGACTGCTCAGAAGAGGGGAAAAGGCCAAACTGGAACCTTCTGGTTAAATAAATTATGCAAAAAAGAAACTAGATTTTATAAAAGTTTTTCATTTGTCAAATGGATAAGGACAGAGCTTGAAAACATTACTTATTTTGGATTATATTTTCCAGAATCATCTTGTCCACATGAAAGTCACATTCTGGAATTGGAGTCTCCAAGAGCCCTTGCACACAAGCTTTATAAAATCCACATTGAACTGGAATATATGGATTCAGATATTCCACTTCAAAGCAGATATTGTGGATTATCTGTCTTGAGAGTCTGGGTTATATGGCTGTGTGGAAGGGCCCCAAAAAAGAGAACTAATTGTGAAATGTCCTCAAGTTCAAATTGAGGCCCCGTCTACACTTCAGATAATCCAGGTTATCAAAGCAGAAAATCCACATTATCTGATTGGAACTGGATTAGTTTAGGGCCCTTCCACAGACTATCAAGGCAGATAATCCACAGTATCTGCTTAAAACTGGGGTATCTGAATCCATACTGCCATATAATCCAGTTCAATGTTGATTTTTTACAACTGGGTGGAAGGGGCCCTAATTTAAACTGTCATATAACCCAGTTCAAAGCAGATACTGTGGATTTTATACAGCTGTGTAGTAGGGAGCTGAGGCTCATGTTTGCACAATTTTTGGCCTTTGCTATCGATAGAAATTTCAGCTGAGTAACATCCTAACATCCTAACTAACATCCTAAATTGTCAAGATGACTTACATTCAAATTGACAGTGTCCCATCTACCCACCACATAACACCATAAAGAAGTGAGTTAGGTGGGAAGATAATAGCATAGAGCATCTAGCTAACTTCCTGGCTGACCATGGCCATGCACACCCCACCCCTCAACAGATCTCTCATTGTCTAAACTAGTAGCCTATTGACCTCATTAGATGAGTGGGAATGTGAATGGTTAATGATTTGCTGGAGTATAGCATTTTAGAGAATATATATTGAATTCAGATGCTCACAGAGGACTATTATGAAACCTAGCGCATCATAGAGAAAGTACAGATAAATCTAATTACATCAAACCATGGAGAAGGCTAGTAAAGACCCCTTCTACACTGCCATATAATCCAGATTATCAAAGCAGAAAATCCACAATATCTGATTTGAACTGGATTATATAAATCTACACTGCCATTTAATCCAGTTCAAAGTAGATAATCTGCATTTTATATGGCAGTGTAGAAGGGACCAAGTATGCTTATGTGATAATACAGAACTATAAGGGAGATACCTCTGGATATCTGACAATGCAATTCTAGGTATGTCTGCTTGGAAGTATGTCCCACTAAAGGTGCATCTGCACTGTAGAATTAATGTAGTTCAGAATCACTTTAATTGCCATGGTGCAATGCAATGGTACCTCACCAAACTACAAATCCCCAAATTCTATTGCATTTAGTTATTGCAGTTAGTGGTGTCAAATTACATTCATTATTCAGTGCAGATGCAGACTAACTTTAATAGGGTATACCAGGTTACACACAAATGAGTTTTAAAAAATAGGGTTATTCTCAAGTATCCCTCTCTCAAGTTATATGCATGCTTGTTATATGCATATGCATAGTGTTAAATGTGCATAGGATACTAATCTTAGACACTTAAACAGATGACTCAGGGAGAGGAAGCAGGTTTAACAGATTATATCGCCTTAGGTTATGAACCTGTATCCTTTTACCTTGTAAGGCATTGTGCGCCATAATGTTGCTGTATTAACTGATGAATTAATACGTGAAACAAGTGCTATTACAGTTGATTGATTTTATAGCAGGAACCTTGCCCAAACAGTGGGTTGAACAAAAATGTTAATGTTACAAAATCTGTTTCCTTGGCTTTCTTGTTTTTAGAGATGTGGGCTCAGAAATTACAACTTACTGTAATTCTGTACCATTTTCAAAAAAACAGCCACAAACATGTGTGCACACACACATATACACCTGTGACTCTGAACACCATTTTGGTAATGTGAAAGAAAACAGCTTCCATTTCTCCAAAAGTAAAACTGATCCAAAAGTTGAATTTTTAAAAGTACTGAACCTGCAAATGCTCACAATACCCACAATAAATGAGGTAAGTAACCAGGAAATAGCCAGCTTGGTTTAGTCATTGCGTTCTAACTTTGAGTTGGTGGATTCAGAAATGGAAAGCTGCTGACTCATATAAAAACTCAGAAGAAAGATCTGCAAAGACCACTGTCTCCCCCCACCCCCACCCCATGTCTCTCTAACTTCATAGCAATTGTATGTGTGTAAGTGGAGACCAGTAAAGAGGGAAAAAACTCATGTTAAAGATGTTAATAGGTGGCACATCCTACCTTGTCAATGAAGGATGCAAATTTGTTGTTGAGGGTCTTGATCTGCTCCTTCTCCTCCTTGCGTACTCTCTGGATAGTAGGGTCAATTGCCAGATTGAGAGGGGACAAGAGCTGCGTATTGATGGTAACCTCTTGGATCCCTGGTGATGGGAGCGGACCACCATACCCTCCACCGTAGGCACTTCCAAGGCCTCCACCATATCCGTATGAGGACCGGACACTGAAGGAGCCGGCTCCACCACCAACACCACCTCCCATGGAAATCCTCTTGCTAGAGCCCATGTTGTAGAGGCTGCTGCTGCCGAAGCCTCCTGGTTTCCTAAAACTGCTGCCCCCTCCAACTCCACGGGTTGAAGATACACTGCTGACTCGAACCTGGCTAAACCCACCAGGCCCAGCAGATGAGCGAGAACTGTAACTTAATTGTGACATGGCTAGTTTAGGATCAAGGCTGAGATATTCAGAAAGTTATAGAGAAAAGCAGTGAGATCTTTTAAAAAAAATGGCAAGGGAGGCTTTCAGTAGAATGAAAGAGAGAAGAGTCCCTCTGAACCTCCGAGCTGGCACTTCCTCTCCTTTTATCCGTTAGAAAGAGTTGGGGGCAGCGAAAGGATCGTTTTACTGCCTGGAAGGACATGGGTGTGTCTAACAGCCCTCCCACTTGCCTTCAACCTGCTGAGCCTGGAGCGGCAAAGAAAAACAGACAAGGGAATATTATCAGCTCCACTCCCTGCACCTTGTACTCTTCCTCTGTAGTTTTGAATTGGGCATCTCTCACCTGGAGCATTTAAGAGCCTTCCCTCCTTTTATTTCTCCATTTGCACATATTGGCTAAATTAAGAAAAGGTATCAGACCACCACATACCTTTCAGGTTTCCATGGAGAGCACACAAAAAAGAATAGTGCAGAGTTTGGAAAAGCTCCTTGTTTTGAATATTAGCGTGATGGTTGGGGGCTTTTGGAGCTTTGGCATTCAAAAAGGCATTTTCCCCCAATTCTTGGAAAGGAAGAAAAAAAACAAATAAAAAGCAGGTGTATTAAAAAAAGATTCAGGAAGAAGGAAGAGAGAAAAGAGTGCAGGAATGTGGTGGAAGGACACTGAATCTCAGGGTCCTTCCACACAGCCATATAACCCAGAATATCAAGGCAGGAAATCCCACAATATCTGCTTTGAACTGGAATATATGACAGTGTGTACTGTACTAAGATGATCCCATTCAAAGTAGATATTGTGGGTTTTCCTGCCTTGATATTCTGGGTTATATGACTCTCTGGAAGGGCCCTCAGCCATCACACACAAATGACTTGCCATTTGCTGTTTTTCTTTCCCGTCACCCCCAAAAGACAGATTCATCTACCTTGCAAAGTTGTTAGTGCTCTTCATATAAAAGATGGAAATAAAACAAAAATGATAAGATTATGGACTATATCATTAAGGAATGCAGCAAACAATTTTCATTTTAAAAAAAGGAATGCAAAAAAGGAGAGCAATTGTGTGGTTTTTCCCTAGAATATATACCAAACTGTAAAAATTCTCATCAGTCCAGGTTTCTCCTCGACATGATTTTCCAACCTTTAGGACACACTTTTGATCATTTTTTGAATATTTTTACCATTCTTTTTATCCCTTACATTGTAAAGAATTTGAACCTGGGGTTCCAAAAGCAATGCTTTCCCAGCTCTAATAGCATTGGTTGACAGACATAACCAAGTTGAACAATGGTATTCTTTGTATTTGATTCAGATTAGCAAAAGCATTAGACAAGCTACTCAAAGTCAAAGATGCTTTTCCTGTCTGAGCTTTCAGTATCCCCAGAGGGATATTCCCCCCCCCCCCCCCCATTTGCACATTATAAATAAGAATACTAACACATGCTATTTTGTGTGCTGTATTTTTAAACAGAGGATCCTTATGAGAGCAAAAGCATTGGAGATCTCAATCTGCGCCCTTTTAAAATCCAGTAAAAGCAAATAAAGATCCTAATAATCACCTGCCACAGTTAAATAACTATGGTAGACGCATGTGTTATCAGGAAAATATGGGACTTTCATTATAATGCTAATGACTTGGGTAGGACATAAGATAACTTGCAGTGAGGTAGGTGCTGGTCTTTATCTCTCCTATCAGTTCTCTTCTGGAAATCCCCCCTCTCTCTGTACACATACAGAGGGCCATCTCATATCCACTAATATTTCGTGGATGAAACTCACGGTATATGGGGCCAATCAATGGTAGAGTGTTGGCAATATGGCAAAACTTATTAATGAAGAACAGACAAGCTAGGAGAGGCTGCAGCAGTTTTCTTTTTCTCCTGATATACTAAGAGGGCAGAAATGTACCTGCCACACACTTTCCTGCTCTGAAATTTTAGTAAATATCCTGGATATCTCACAAAACTCTTTCATATGTTTTAGATGAAAGAAAACTTCTGATTACATTGTTTTATCAGTTCAAGGCTGAACAGAAATTTGACCCATCAAGACCACTGGCCCCACCAACCGTACAAGTAACCTCCATGGAGGGGCCATGATAGAACAAGTTTCAAGACAATTGCCATGCATGTATTCATTATTCATTATTCATTATATTTATTTATACTCTGTTTTATCTATAAATGATATAATGCTTTATTTTTAGACTGCCCTATCTCCCCGATTGGAATCAGGGCGATTTACACACAAAAAGGGCAAATGTTCAATGCCTATCTCTCCTGAAAGAGACTCAAAGCAACTGCCAACTTTTGAATTTTTGAGCCATGCTTTTTCCTATTTACACCTAAAAATAAGATAAAACTTACCTGTCTGCTATAACATTTCTCTTTGTAAGGACATGACATGCCAGGAAACTGGGGAAGGGGGGATTTTCTTCCTTGCCCTCTCCCCCATCTGCTGACATGCCAGGAGGGCATGAGGAACAAATTTATGGTGGCCAGGTAAGTTTTACTTTATTTTTAGGGGTAAATTTGGGGGGCCCTCCCCCGGGAAAGCCTGGGTTTTTGGGGGGAGTGAGGATGGGAATCCACACTAAAGCAGGTTTTTAAAACCCACTTTGACATGGATTTTGGTACTGTCTGGAAGCACCCCTGGATCTGGATACTTAGTCTCAAATAGAGTAGAATCGATGGGATCTACATTCTTGTTTATTCTTCATTCAACAGTTTGTTCAATGGGTTTACTCAAGTTTGGACTAACAAATAGGTTAAAGTCATGTGTTGTGTGAGTTTGTTTTCCAATCTTTCGACAGCTAGTAGTACAACCAATGAAATCATCATAAACCCAGTGTGGTGTAGTGATTTGGGCATTGAACTTGTACTACGACTCTGGAGACCAGGATTTGAATAACTACTCAGTCATGGTAACCCACTAGTTAACCTTGAACAAGTCACACTATACGAGCTTTAGAAAAAGGCAATCTGAGGCATACCTTATGCATGCAGAGCTTGCCTCAGTGTTTGCTTTACTACCTTTACAGTACGATTGTACTGTGATGTTAGTCAGGTAGAGAAAAGGAATTTCTCAGAGACAGGAATTTGCCCTGAGATGTCTCCGGTCAAGTACGTTATCTGAAACAAAGTTGTTCTCTGTTTTTCTGGATGCCATGGTAACAGTTGTGTAGTTGAGAAATTACCGGACAACCTTGAAGCCCACAGATTTGACCCTTGGCAGCCTTGCCTCCTGCAAGAAGTTAAAACAATACTTCCTGTGATAAGACATCACAGACACTGAGCTTCTTGGATACCTTTTGTAAAGCTTATCTTTTCCCAAATGTATGGAGTGCTCATACATATAGCCAGGTTTTCAACTATAATCCCCAGTATCCCCCTTCTAATGAGATTGTCTGGGAATTCTGAGAGTTATCATCCAAAAAAGGTAACTTTGATAAGGTGAATTGGTACTTAAGAACAGAAGGAGCAGAAAAAAGTTCCCCAATCAAAAACAGATTTCTCAAGAGTTGCAAGACTTCTTTGATAGGATAACAGTGCAGGGAGAATTTTGCAGTTATTCTGTGGAGAACAATACATTTTTGTGTGGGAGGAAATTTGTTTTCAGTACAGATACTGGGTTTCTTGTACATACACAAATACTTTTTATATGCATGAAATCTATTGTCTCCACTGACTACTAATTCATTTTTGCATTCCCAAACCCTTTTTTTGTTTTAATTTGAGATAAATTTCTCCACGATTCAGGACATTTAAACATATGGAGAATATTGCAGGGGAATGTTCATTTTCTCCTGCAGAAGTAAGGCAACAGCCAAAGTTGTTCATTCTCGCACATGAGGATATGCTTAACTAAAGAGTAGTAGCTGTGTTTCTTTCTGGCACACAAGGGCTTTTGGGGTGGGGATGGAAGCAAACAAGGCAATGTAGTAAAGCAAACACTGAGGCATACCTTATGCATGCAGAGCTTTATAAAGAATCTAGTAAGCACAAGACAACTCAAAGTTTTCTATGCTTCGCTGCAAAAAGAAATGTATCTGGCAGCATTATCTGGGTAGGTGCAACCATCTGGCATGTGCAAAATCTTAAGGTCCTTTGCACACCTGCATTGTGTATTGTTTTTGCATGGCTTTATTTTTAAAAAAAAGTGACAGAAGAGAAAGATTGAAACAGAGAAAAGCAAAGAAAAAAGTGTCAAATAAAAATTAAATAATTAGATATGAACATTCAAAGTGCTAAAAGTGAACAGGCTTGTAAAACCAAACCTACAACATGGTTGCTGCCTGTAGAAAAAATGTCACTGAAGGCTTGTAATTGACCATAAAAGAGTAAACACTGAGGCACTCCTGTTACTGAAATTCCACCAACCTGCCAGGCCACACCTTGCCTTGAAAGCTTATCTGGGTTTCTTGGTCAGTAATAGCATACAGGTTTCTTTGGACAAACAACTTTTGTGTACCAAAATGACTCATCTCCATCTACAATGTGGAGATTTATTAGGACAGGCTGGATGCTATTTGGGGTCTTGTAAAGTCCAACAAATATGGTCATCACCCAGCATGAAAAAAGCAATGTGTCTCAAGTTTCTTTGTACAACTGATTCAGCATTGGTGGTAGACACTGTTGGATTTCCTGACAGAGATCTTCATATGAACTATTTTTATCTATAGCTTGCTAGGGTTATATTACCATGCTGTTTTATGTAAATGCATGTTGTTTTTATACAAACGTATATTGTTTATGCAAATGTATGCTGTTTGTCATGGCACTAGGTGTGCTTTTTGTGAGTTGCCCCAAGTCCATTCAGGGAGATGGTGGCAGGGTATAAATAATAATAATAATAATAATAATAATAATAATAATAATAATAATAATGTTCTGAGGCAATCTGTTCTACTGTTGGATAGCTCTTACAGTTGAGAAGTTTTTCCTAATGCTTCTTACTGTCATTGCACTTTTAGCCTATAGGTTTGTGTACAAGTCTCTGGAACAGCTCAAAATAGAAACAAAAAAAGTCTTTAAAAATATCCCTGCTGAATATCTATTCAAACCCAAGAACAAAAAGTGAAAAAGATACACTGGAAATGGTCAAGAAAGACATGTCTAGAAGTGCTAAAACAAGCCACATCTTTGTTTTCAATCTTTTCTACACACCAGT